ACACACACACACACACACACACACACACACACACACACACACACACACACACACACACACACACACACACACACACACACACACACACACACACACACACACACACACACACACACACACACACACACACACACACACACACACACACACACACACACACACACACACACACACACACACACACACACACACACACACGACTACAGAGAGCTGCCTGTGTAAGCTAATGTCACTTAAAAATCATTGTGCTGAGAATGAGTGCGTACCATATGACTCCTGAACAGTGGGAGCTATGTGTTGCTGCGCAGGGCATGGTGTTACATGAACACATGAAAACAATAATCAATGTTTGACTTATTATTACAATGTGTCAGCTCAGATAAAGGGACCAGTCAGTACGGCTGTGTGTAATGGGAATCTGTTTTATAATAACACACTATGTTAGATTTTCAAAAGGGTTACCCACCAGACGTACACATGTAAGTCCGTGTATTTCTAATTTGTGGTACTACTTAATGTTGTAAAGAGAGCTGTAACATTTGTTTTATTTAAGTGGCGCTATTACGCTCTTTTTCAGGTTCATATTTGTATTTGTGCTTCATCTGTAACATGTTTCCATGCTTTAAGGAGAGAAACTCAAGCCTTTGTAGACCAACTTTAGGGCTCAAACTTTTGCAGACCATTTAGAAAATATATGTAATCTTTTCAAGAGCAATATAGCTTCTTGTGTAATTGATAATACTTTGCCTGTGTCTTATAATCACTTCCTATCAGCTATGAAGTGTATGGAGAATATGAGCTGAATGGTATCGTCCAACAACCCAATTACTCAGGGTTCATACACTTTTTCACCAATGATTTCCAATGACCTCTCCATGACCTTTACCTAATTTTCCATGACCAAAAACATTACTTTCTCAGCGGTACCACTGAAAATGGTTTATTTTAACATGGAGCAGGAAAATAAGGTCTGAAACATGTTGTGCCCGTCTAAAATAAATCCAATAGGCTTACTAGCTTCTGCTCAAATCTCTCACCAGCAAAACACCTCGTCAGTTAAATGCCATTTTACGTTTCATTACTACGCGATACGGTATTTATTAGATGGATAAAATATAAATTATTTGATGCAACTTTAGTTACATTTCCATGACTTTTCCAAAACGTTGGGAAAAATATTGTTTTCCAAAACTTTTCCAGGGCCTGGAATCAGCATTTTGAATTTCCATGACTTTTCCAGATTTTTAATGACCGTAAGAAGAACCCTGATTACTACATTTTCAATCCCATATTAGTCACTGCAGTTCATATGAATACCTGTCCGTCATGAGTCAACATTATTGTAATGAGTGTAGTACTCATTTAGAATGTGCTACAGGCTAAACTATTAGTGTCTGTTATAAAATGGAGTAGTGAGTGAATGAGAGAGTGCTTTCAGACGCCACCTCAGCTCCTTTTAGCGTCTGGTCTGTTCCACGGCAGACAGGTTGACTCATCACAGTAGAAAGAGCACAGGTGTTACTAATAACATTAAAGATGGCTCCGCTCCATTCACAGTGTGATAGTGGACAACAACAGGACCTGAGACAGAAGAAGCTACATGGAACACACATATCATACATTTCATTTGTTACACCTGTGTAAGGACTATTGTTTTCTGTTTAAATACTGTTTTTAATGTGACAAAATAGGTAGATAGAGATGACTCAATTAAGTAAAACCTCTCTGCATTAACAAACTGATATAGAGAGGCGAAGTCCCTCCCTTTCCGGGGGGGCTCCATGCGACCTTATTTCGGAAAAATGATGTATTGAAGTCAATGGAGAGAGAAAGATTATCTTTGGATCCCGTTTGAATTGTGCCACGAATTACACACATGATGTTTGTCAATTTAAAAAATAATTTCCATGTAAAAACAGGTTTGTCGTAAAACTGCTGAAATATAAGACTATGAAAAATACGCAACTAGAAAGACTACAAATCTCAGAATCCCAGTCCCGCATGCTGGCTCTTAGGAACCGACTAACTCCCCTTGTGTGTATGCACAGCTCTCAACGTGCCCAGACTCGTAGTGATTTTCACCTCTTTTAATACTTTCCGCCTCATTCTGAAAGAAAGAAGTGAAATGTTCAACGTGACGGCCGTCTTGGTGTGTGGGGCGAGACGGGAGATGTAGTTCATTGAGCGGTTTACTTGCAAAATTATCTTTTAAATTGACAAACATCATAATGTGTAATTCGTGGCACAATTCAAACGGGAGAGAAAGATAATCTTTCTCTCTCCATTGACTTCAATGCATAACTTTTCCGAAATAAGGTCCCATGGAGCCCCCCGGAAAGGGAGGGACTCTCTATACTGCTTAATGATTCACAACACACAGAAAAGTGTCTCTCTGCTGACACTTCTCTATTGGCTGGGCAATAAATGAAGCATATCAATATTGTGATATGAGACTTGATAATGTCTTACATGTGGGTGTTGTTTTGTCTTCTCCTGGTTTTAAAGGCTGCATTACAGTAACGTGATGTCATGTTCCAAACGTAGCACACTGTTTCATCTGTTCTTTTATTTGCCTTTACCCATTTAGTCATTAAATCCACATTACTGATGTTTTTCATCCAGATATTCTCTCTCAGTACTCTACCTTACATCAATGTTCTGTGAAAGCAACCCTACAAATAACGTCACAAAATATAGATATTGAGTCGTCAGAAATATTGTGAGACATTTCTTCCTATAGCCCAGCCCTACTCCATGATCTCACTTGATGTACGATGTGTTTCCATGGGAGATGAATGCAAACTTTGCAGAAACACATGATGACACCTCACAGTGTGTCACGTTGCTGAATGCTGAGATTAGCTGCGGTTTCAGGTAGAATTATGTCAAAGGCACAGCACCGCATAACCACGTTCCTGTACACACACCTGCAGGGGACATTACATTGACTTACATGCATTTCCTGGAGACTTATCCTAAACCATAACCAACACATGCCTAACCCTTACCCTAACCAAGTCTTCACCCTAAAATGAATGATTCCCCTCATAGGTACCTCCATTATGTCCCCATAAGGGGGGCGAGTCCCCACACGTTACTGTGTAAACATAAGGTCCCCACAAGGATTGTAATGCAAACACACACACACCTTCCCTCCGCCTCACCTCCTGAGCCCCTTTAGGAGGAATCAGTAGATGTCAGTGCTTTCCTGTAGAGAGAAGAAGAGCAGCTCAGTGCGCTCTGTCTCTCATTATCTGCTGCCTGTGCGTCAATCTAACTGCAGCCAGAGGAGAATACCTGTGCTCCCTTTGAAGTGCGAGCCTGACTACAGTAAATTATTAGCTTGCCTGCAACACAGCTCCAGGCCCTCAGGACACCCTCTGGCTGTTCCACACCGGGTGCCATTACCTGTCATTTCAGTTGTTAGGTATCTCTCATAGAGGCTAACAACGACGCCTCGCTCAAGCCTTATCCCAGCTTATCTCCCTACCCTCTGAGAGGCAGTGGATGTGGGTGAGTTTACGTTGGCTTATAACAATAGAGCGAGAGTGAGAGAGACAGGGAGGGAGAGAGCGGCACAGAGACTCTGATTAAATAGCCAACATTCCTTTAAAAGGAAGAGAAGTTAGCCTTTGGGCTCCAGACAAGCCTGTACTTGTAAAACGTGGGGAGAGGGAGAAAGAGACGACAAGTGCAGGGCTCCTCTAGTCTAGCAGAGCGTAACAGGAAGTGGCAGGGCCCTGCTTCACATGGGGCCTCTGGGGTGCAACGTCTGGCTGGGAACGCGTCAGTCTCCGAAAAACCGCCTGCTGCAACACCCTTAACACACACGCAGCAACGTGTAATAATTCGAAAGTCAACTCGTTATCAAAATTCCCTGGAAGTATGAGATGTAATGCTTGATAACAATGCAAAGTGAACGTCTCAGAGGCACAGATCAGTCAAACTGGCCTGGTAACCTGGTAACAGGGTGTTTTATGAGGAGTGATTAATGACAACTTGACGGGTTACTGGCAGGCTCAGCCCACACTGTTCCTGCCTCATATCTTTGGTTAATGACTGCAGTGAGATAATGGTGCCACTCCACACAGTAATTGCAGTTTCCTCTGGGCGCAGGAAACTTTTGCCTTTTAAGCACGGGCAATGTCCTCTGTTCCACACGGCAAAATCATCATGGGTAATCAATTCTATGCAGACACTAATTACTGAACTCTGTCTGGACTCTGTATTTAGGCTGATCAGATGAGTGGTATAGGAAAAGAGGAGGGGGGGCAGAAAAAAAGGGAGGGACTCTTGTCCTACATGGCCTCCTTTCAGGTTGTGCAAATCACAATGTTGACAAATAAATAAGAGGATATGGCACTGGTTATCCAAATAAGCCTCTGTAATCACAGTGGTGCGTTTCATAAATGGGAAAAGTAGAAGAAATAACTTAACAAGAAAAAAACGTGCATTATCGTATTATTTAGCTGTATTTTCTTATGAGAAACAGTACTTCTATGATAAATGTCAGCAGGAGACTCTTGCAAAGAGGATAAAATGTCACAAGGCCACTAGCTATAAACTCAAATGACACACTATGCCCCCTTTGGGAATATTAAAGTGATTTGTAGTTTGATATAATAAGACCAACACTAGTCAAGTAGTAACATCCTACATGGCTATCAGAAAACACACAACTCTGCGACCTGAAGTTATACCAACACAACTGCGTCCATGTACACAATAAGAGTGATTTTTGTTCCAATGCTGCATTAATTTCACCACTATGATGGAATAAAACCGGTTTCAAACCGTGTTTTTACCCGCAGAGCAGATATGTGCACAGCCAGCCGAGCACAACATTCCTCCCGTCTGCAGCCCGTCTGTGAGCGGAGGAATAAACCCGTTTCTCTCGGTTAAAACAAACACCACTTTAAAATTCACCAAACACAGTCTTTAGAAAAGTCCAAACTCTTCCCAATGTTCGTCGGTTTTAGTGTTATAATTAATATACTCACTGGTGAATGCAGAGAAAGAGACAGTCGACGCGTCTAATAGGTTTCCTGTTCGAAAGTTGCCGTGTGTCAGTGGGAAAAAAACATTGTACGCGGAAGTACACATCAAAAAAAGAAAAAAAAGAAAAGCTCAGGGTGGTCAACAGACGGCGGAAACGAAGTAACTATTTAACATTTATAATTATTATTGAACACACCGTGTAAGATGACACATAAAAACGAATGTATAGTAAGTATTTGTGCTCTTAAGCCTCGACTGTCAAAGTTTTTTAAAAGTAGAACCTAACACCGCTTGTTTCCGCACTGTGTTACACAGTAACTCGTCCCCATTGAGTCCCCATATGCAAAACTGAGTAGGCATATACATATGTGGTTAAGTGTTGTTAATGTTGTTTGCACATTCCAACACTTTTTATTTAATACTTTAACACTTTACAGATTCTTTGATAATTATGAGCCAATTTCTTACTTAATCTTAGACAAAAGCCTATTGCATAAAGCAGACTTATCTGTTATCAGCATTATTGATGACTAAGAGTATTGCAGCGAACAGAAAAACACGTTTTCTCTCTATATACTATCTTATTTCTCTCCTAAACCTGCATTAAGCATATATGTTTCCTTTTTTTTTTTTTTACTGTTGATCTACTTTAATGTCTAGCCTTCATTTACCTAAAACAAAATGCACACACCACTGTGAAGCCATGGATACATTACAGACAATAAAGGACATGTGTGTCGTTAAATTAGAGCAATGATTTAACCTACAAAGTAAACCAAACTTCACTACCTGCTCACAGCCTCACTGCGCCTCCTTGTGGAGAAACAGTCACATAACCCTAACCCGTTACACATCTGTATATTCACTTAATTAAAGCTGCATGCATTGTTCTACCAAGTACTCAGTTATTGCGCATAAGTAAAAGTAGCATTACTATTATGTATACTGTGCTACAAGTAAGACATCATGCATTTAAAAAAATCTTATTTAAGTACAAAAGTGTCACCATTTAAATGTACTCAAAGTACTCATTTCAGAATTGTAATATAATATGATTGGATTATAAATAGTGATGCATAATTGTGTTATTTCATTAAATATCTCAGATTGTAAAGGTGGAACTGATTGTAATAATTATGTACACTGCTGGGTAGCTTAGCCTATAATAATATATCATGATGTATTGGTTGATTTATATTTTGTATTAATACCATCTGAATCTGCAAAGTACCCAGCGATTAAAGCCATCTATATAGTGCAGTGAAAAGTAAAATATTTCCCTCTGAGAAGTAGTGCGTCAAAATGAAGATGCATAAAACGGACCTACAAATTGTAATTAAGTACAGAACTTGAGTAAATGTACTAATATACATATCAATACTGACTGCATGTCTATTTAGTAAATCATTGTGTTTAATAACACATGTCACATGATCGGTTTTCCTGGGATTTTAGATTTGTTTGTCTCGAAATAAATTGTATTAATGGTTTACGTCTATTTTCTTGGATAGTGCATTACAGGTTGACACAGTACTGTAGAATGAATTGTGTGATTTCCCTCTACTCGGGCATGTAGTAAGGATTCAAACCTTTGATGATTTTGTGGCGAAGGGTTAACAGAAGACAGGAATGGCCGTTGGGCTGAGAATGAGCCGCAGTATAATGAGGACCCTGTCACTTCCTGTTAGACTCATCCTCGTTGATTGTATCATGGTCATAACCTTATTTTATTCACACATTTTGAGTGGCTTCCATTCTGTGATTTAAGGTTGTAGGAATGAGATATTGTAGATATTTGAGGTCATAAGGTTATATCATTAACTGGGAGGTTGTACACACATTTCTCGAATGTGCCCTTTAAGTTAAAACTGCAAATGTAAGAGTTAATGTCGGATATCGTTCATCATGTCATTCATCCTCACACTTCCAGAGCTTTTATAGGAAACGTTTGTTCATCACTCACGTTATGACCTACCAAACATTTTTAGAAGCTTTTTCACAACTTGGACATTCAATAGTCATTTCCAGATTAGTGGTGAAAGGTCAAGAAAAATGAAAAATATATTACTAGTTGTCGTGTTTATCAGGACGTATTGAATCAACCCCAATTTCAATGTTATTTGTAACAGTCAAATTAATGAATTACTTAATGGCGATGACAGGTGTCTTTGTAATGTAGACACATGTTCTAGAAAATGGTGGGGACTGTATTTCTATTTTTATTATTGTGTAAAATATAGTGTGTGTGTATTTTTACCAATTAGTTTAAAAACAAATGACTTTAATATACAAAATATGTTTTAAAAAAACCTTATTGACATTAAAATCATATTTCTTTACTGTGATACTCTGATTATTTCAAGGTTGTATTAAGTACCTTGTTTTTGTCATCAAAACTAAGTACGATTAGAAAACTCAAATCTGGTCATGATTATTATTTATTTATACTATACTTTATTAACTACAGGAGTTACTAAGTGATCACATAGAAAAATGAAGTTTCATTCCACATAGGGTTGTTACAAATCACACCTCAGTACAGGAATATCAAAGTCAAAATAATTTATGATTGAGATATTTTAGGATAATAGGATTTTGAATTGAATTGAGTCTTTTTATGTCTCTTCTGCAAATGAATTATCCTCAGAATACAAGTGCGGGAGGTGAAGGGACAGTCTGTTACCTAAACACGTGTAAAGAGAAATGATTCAATAGACCTTGGATTATTGTCTTCATTAGTATTAATCTGTATCAATATATCTTTTTTTTTATCACGGTTATCGCCATCACCGGTATATCGCAACACCCCTTATTCTAAATATTTAAATACACTGTGGTGTCAAAAGGAAGATATATCATGTATGTGTTCACTGGCATAAATACAATTGGTGTGAAAAGCTGCAATGTAATTCACACCTTGATGATAGCAATTTAGATTAGAGCCACTTCACATCACTGGTCGACGTCACACAATGAAAACATTTCAACAAACTCACAGTCACAACATCTCACTATTCAGAATAATGTTTATTGCTTTTGAAGATATTAATCTTTTTCTTCTTTTTTGCACTTTCCATTGTTCCTCTTTACAGTAAAACAAAGAGAGGTGACAGGTGAAACCACTGCATTGTCATTTGTGGATGTGTACACACACATACACACACAAAGGAAACCGTATTTACAGCTGTTAGTCAGTGTCCTGGGACTGGAGGCCTTGTTCCTGTAGCAACTCAACAAACATAGAGCTTTACATTGACTTTACAATAGAGCTTTCACAACTAACCGTTTGACAAACCATACAGGCTCTGAAGCTGCTGTACAATATGGTTTAGCGTTTGCTCTGTGTGGAGAAACGGGGCCGGAGGAAGCATGTTGGTCATTAGATCTGCAAACATAAACAGTATTTTTTATTTTTCATATGTCTTCGAGCTAAACCAATTGCTGGCATTGACAAAAAGCACTGATTGAAAAATAATCAAAACAGATTTTCGGGGGAGGATTTAAAAAAAAGAAAACCAATATTATTCACTTTTGACTAATTACAGTACAGTTACACTGGGTGAATGCTAACTATAAAAATAAGTCTACCGGCATGTGTTTGCACCCAAAGGGTTCGTACGCTGGGCACAAATGACCAAAGGGCACAATTAATTTGGGTCGAGAAAATGAGAGACCATTCCCAGTGTGATCTCTGTCCTCATCATAGAAAAACATCTTCAGAGCGCAGATCTTCTGCCGTTAATAATTTAAACTTTGATACACCTAAGCTTATAATTTTTCCAACATGTTTAAATACTGAATTAAATCACAACAATACAGCTAAATCTTATCATAGTGAATCATAATTAAATGTAATGTACACCATAATAAAATATATACAGTGAAATATTCATACAAATTTCTAGGTTGGTCCAGCTCCCCCTAAATGCTCTCTTTTTCTTTCCTTTTTTTTTAGAAAAATGTGCAGGAAATACTTGAACCACAGGACAAAATAAATAATCACAGACTATCACAGTTAACACTATAAGAAATATGGATCTTAACATTTAAATTAACCCGCAGGAAACGATATATCATAAAAAGTAAGTGCAAAATAAATGTAGGGGCATTTTTACTCACAGGGTTACGGGGTAAATGATTTTGGAGACATTGATGGAAATGAGCACTAGGTGGCAGTATTTGACCATGTCTCAAAGTGATCACATGTATTCCAAATCTCAAGAATTATAGGATAAATCTGTAGAATTGGATCGATCTGAGCATTATTTGTTGTTCTGTTCTGTTAGGGATGTTGTTTGTTAATGTTTGTCAAGGCAGGTGCTGCTGTGCTGTAATTTACCACCTCACTGCCTCCTATCATAGCTCGCCTGCAAATTGTTGAGTACTGCAAGCAACGCGTAAAGCAAGTCTACAAAGAACAGGGCGGTCATTTGGTGTGAGAGATCAAAACAGAAAGGACTAGAGGGGGATACAGACAGCTGATACCCTAAAAACTGCACGCTCCATATACTCTGAGATGGACGAGGCAGTGGTGTAATGGACTTAAAAACATACACAGCAAACAGGGAAACAGTCATTTCAGAAGTGAATAACACAACTGAGAAAGTATCTATCCAGAGTGATTGGGGTGGGGGGTGGGGGGTGGGGAGCGGGGGGTTGACAATTTAAAGCAGAAAAGTGTCTCTGAAAAAAGAAAGGAGAGAAAAAGAGAGTTATCAGAGCACAAACTGGCAAGATGGCGGGAGAAGAAGAAGAAGAAGAAGTATTAGCTGTGGATCATTTTGAGAGTCTCTGTCTCCCTGTGTTTTTCATGCGGAGGCAGGGGGGGGGAGAGCGACAGAGGACGGGAGGGGGGCCGGGGGGAGACGGGCTTCAGGCTCTTCAGAGGATGCGGGGAGACTGTGGGGGGGAGAGAGGAGACGGGTGGCAGCACGCTCCCTTTCTTCCCGTCCAGCACTATCTGTGATCGGCTCGCCAGGCTGGGTCCCTTCCTGAAGTCGTTGTCGTTGTCCGAGCTGCAGTCGCTCAGGTCAGTGATCTCCAGGTCTGAGTCTGACTCGGGGTCCTGCTTCAGCCCCCCTCTCCTCTCCGAGGGGCTCTGCAGGCCGGCTCCCAGGCCCAGACTCACGCCCCCTGTGCCCGGAGGATTGGCCTCCGCCCTCTCCCTCTCCCTTTCCCTCTCCCTCTCCCTCTCCGCCAACAACGACGCCCCAATGTCCATGCGACCCAGAGACAGGCTCCCGGGGTACGGAGGGAGGCAGAGTCTGATCGGCTGACCACCCGCCGTGCCGTTCGTCCCCCCGGTTGTCCCCCTCTCACCTGCCTCTGCCGTGGGGAGCAGGGAGGAGAAAGGGTGAGGCAGCTGGGAGAGGCTGCTCTGCAAAGGGTTGGGGTAAAACTGGGAGGGGTAGAGGGAGCCAGGGGGCAGTTTGGGGCAGTTGTTGAGGGAGAAGGCCCCTGGGAGGTAAGGGTTGAAGCCCCAGGGGTAGTCGAAGGGTGGGTTGCGAGCATAGGGGCCCAGCAGGGACGGGGGCTTGGTGTAGCACGGAGCACCTACAGGACAGAGAGGAGATCCAGTTAGCTCTCTGAAGGGCCAAAGGTTCCTTGACATACAACATCCAAGAATGTTCACTAATTATGCTCATCGGTATTAGCAAGTCTAATCAGGAGCCACAGGGGCCAATTCTGCCACGGCTGCTTCCAACACCCACAACAAGAAAAGAAACCTGATGGTTCATTTATGCATGCCAGTACTGAGCAGCACACACACTTCACCGAAAAGCAGATGTGAAGACAAAGATTCTGAAAAATAAACATTGAATTAAGAGTTGAAACCTTCCCAATGTTGCATTAGTAGCTAGACTGAAGCACTCCTTTGTGCACCAGTCGATCCTCAAATAAATACCGAGTTCAATCCCAGATCTAATGTACGATAGAGGGTCTTTTAACATGCTTCTCTTCAGTTATCGTGATGTTATATGCTATCTTAATATTTGTCCTTGTTTGATGAGCAAATGGAGCTGCTGTGATGCAAGTCAAATGTTATACTTGACAATAAATGATTACCTTTTTTGGTATTTCTCCTCGGTTAAACAAGGAGATGGGTTGCACCCCAAAAATCTCAGTGGTGACAGTCACCTTTTAAAAAAAATGTAGCCAAGAAATAATAAAGAATACATGTACGTCCAGGGTTAAGGAAACTCGCAAACAGTCGATCTCCTGTCCCCCCAATTGTTCTCACCGTATCACTTCATCCTAAGGTTTTTACGTAATATAAAAATATTACGTAAAAACCTTAGGATGAAGTACATTTCATACAACACCATGTTCGAATTCCTTGTGAGTGAAACCGAAACAGGGGGTGAATTCGAGGTGATGCTGGAATTCAATTTGAATGCGCAAACAAAAGCATTGCCTCTCCACATACTGTACTTCCTTCCAACTGACAACCAACTCAAAGCTGCCTCTCTGCTGCACCCTCACTCTCCTCGCTCTGTGTTTCACTCCGTTATTTACTATGCAGGGCTAATTTGACAGTGGTGAAGTCTCTGCGTGCTGGGCCAGGAGTAGCTGGCAGACACATGAATATTGAATCAGTCAGGCAGGCCTCACTTGCTTATGAAAACACAGTAATGGGCGCCCACAGGCCACAAACTGAAGCCTGCACCCTCAATTAGGGCCTTCCTGCCTGGGAAGGGATTAGGACAGCAGGGACACATGGGAGGGAGAGGAGGGTGAGAAGGGAAGAAGGGGGGAAAAGGACCTGAGGACAAACAGAGTGGGGAGGAAGGAGGGGGTGTGTGTGATGTGTGTGTGTGTGTGTGTGTGTGTGTGTGTGTGTGTGTGTGTGTGGGTGTGTGTGTGTGTGTGTGTGTGTGTGTGTGTGTGTGTGTGTGTGTGTGTGTGTGTGTGTGTGTGTGTGTGTGTGTGTGTGTGTGTGTGTGTGAGAGTACATCTGTTTATACTCTCTGGCGCTGCACGTTCGTACACATTCTGATGCACGTATAAGAAACAAAGGCAGATGCACATACATAACGACATTAGGCCAATTGATGAAACCGGAGAAAGAGCAGGATACATCTTTTCCTAAAACCGGGGCGAGTGTTTCTCCAGCTTGTTGTTTTACCGCGGCTGAAATGCATAATTCACCAGCTAACCTGGACCCTCACCTGCAGCACAGCCTCACCGCGGGCTGCCATGGGACAGCCATCTCTCTTATTTCCTTTAACAATAAATGTTCATGCCTCCCCATATCCTCGTTGCTCTCCTCTTTCCCTCTACCTTCCTTTGTTTAAGAAGCTCCGTTTGCTGCCTTATTATAGCGCCTCGGCTGTCTTTCTCCTCATGAGGAATGTGTTTGTCTCTGGGATACAGAAAGATTCCTATTTGGTTTTTTTTACACTTTTCACAAACTTTTATTTGCTCACCTGTACTGAGGAAGGGGAATGAATCCAGCCTCAGCTTGTCTCCTTCGGGCCCCGGTGCTGCGGTGGTCCGATCAAACAGGGACGTCCCCCTGCCCGAGTCTGGCAGACGAGGAAACAGGGACTGTATGGCCTGAGAAACGAAGGAGAGGAGAGGGGGAAAAGACAGTGGAAGAATATAAAAACGAGTTTCCTTTACTTCCTTAAGCGGTCGTAGAATGCAACAAAGTGCATCCACTCAAGTACTGAACCTAAATAGAAAGGTACTGGTCATTTAACTGATTTCCACGTTATGATAAGATAAAATAAAAGGTACTTTATTGATCCCAAATTTGGAAATGTTTGTGTTGCAGCAGCATACAAAACAACAAAACAAAGCATTGCACATAAGAAGTAGAAATTAAAGAAGAGAAATAAACAATACTAGAATTGTAACATCTCAAAAGATGGTGTGCACATGTTGTACTTTCAATTTATTTTCCAGCTTCAGTAATATAGCTAATTTGCAGATGTATGTTATAAATAAAACATTTCATTCAACTGATTGTGGATGGATGATGGTGAATTATTAAAGTCAGTAATTCAAAAGAAACCCCACCTATACCAGATGCAACATTAAAGTGATGAATACCTTAATGCGCCAATACATAAAATGCAATAGTTTAATATGTATGACTCTGAAATTAGCCATACTACACATTTGGTACTTCATGGATAATGATGCCAACTGTTTTTACACTTTAGTATTACTTCTTGTACTTCTTCCAACACTGCCTTTTAATATAGAAACGTTGCAATACGACTGCTTATGTGCAATGTACTCTTTATTTCTACAATTTAATAATATCATTATTGGCTTCTTCAATGCTTTTTCACTTTTGAATGTTGCTACTTACTTGTAAGCATGGATGTGTATACTCATTGGATTTGATTTACTCTTAAATTAAATTGACATGTAAGTGTACTATTTTACGTTTGCCTTTTATCTGCACTTTACCGAATAACACTGAATATGTCAATAATAAAGGATTTCTGATTCTGTTTCCCAAATAAGTCACACGTTTTGCTTCCAATCTGCCCTCGTGGCGCTGTTGTGTTTCCACGGTGTAAAGTCACATGTTGACAGCCGCAGAGTGTGATGCAAACAGTGACAGAGGACACGATAAAAAAGGGGGTGTCAGGGGACTGACAAAAAAAGGGAGGTAGGAGGACGCAGAGGCTCAGAGTGTCAAAGGCAAGGAAGAGTACAGAGTCAAATGTAGAACAGCGATTAGGATGGTGTGCACAAAGGATGAATGAGGAGGAGAGAGAGAGGGATTGTGGGTCTTCGTGTGAAGGGTACAAACAGATAGAGTGACACCCATTCAGGATGTAGGGCGGCTGTGTGTGTGTGTGTGTGTGTGTGTGTGTGTTAAATACGTAAAGGAGAAGGAGGCAAGGTAAAATAAATGGCACAGTTGAATCTCACGAATCAAGGGGACAAAGGGGGGATTTTTTTCTCCCCCCTAGCAGGACTTTTGGATCAATAGTATCTGTCACCCCGCAGCCCATAGTTTGAAAGGCGAGACTGTACTCCCAAGCTGGAGATCTGCGTTGCTTAACAAACCGCATTAATGACCCGCCATTGATCTGATCTGACGCGACCCCTTTGCTTTCTATTCCTTTCATTTTCAATCGATGACAGATGGATGCGCCATAGGAGACGGGATGAGAGCAGGAGGGGATAACGTCTTCTTTTGTTTTAAGGACAAGTTTAAACCGTCCTCCTCCTCTGTCTCCTTCAGTCTCCTTATCCCGTCTTAAGGATGGCACGACAAATGATGGATGGTGCTCTCCTACTGTACTTTCAAGTTACGTGCACTTTGTAGGACATTTACTGTTTAAAATGTAATTAAGTGCACTCACATCTAAGTTAAAAAAGACCTGTGGTGTATACAGCTATTTGAACTCATTTCTATTGATTTCCGTATTTGTTTCTAAATATAACTTCTAAAAAAGACGTACAAGTCAAGTATTCTTTAACTAAATTAGGATTTTTCTTTCTTTCCATTTTATAATAGCATTTATCTACGTAGGAAGTCTCTCTGAGCACGTGTTAAGAATTGTATCACAATTAGAGACGGGGGGAAAAAAGGCAGACATGATGATCACCATCCATTCTCTTGTAAAGATCGAACACACAGCAGGGGCCTGAGAAACACAAAAGGCAAACCACTGGAGTGCAATGGATTTCAGGTACCTGAATTAAATCACTATTAATAACAAATTAGGGAGCAGATCTCGCTATTCCTGCTTTTTAGTTCATGATTTCACTTATTTTACTCCCTGTGTTTTACCTGCTACATGCCATTGTGTGCGCACACTGTACCTACCACCTCACCTCACATACATTTGAATTAAAATTATGTCATTTGATAGACGCTTTTATCCAAAGCGACATTCAGTACTGTGGGCAATCTCCACAGGAGCACTTTGGGGTGAAGTGTCCCAGGGACACAACGACATGCTGACTGCAGTGGGGTTTGAACCTGTGACCCCCTGATCCCAACACCAAGGCTCTATCCACTGCTCCACACGCCTCCTTACCTTTATAATGTTAATAGTATCCTATGTTAACATTTGTTAGTCTATTTTTGAGTACTCTCACTTATTCTGTATATTGTGTCTTATTGAGATAAGTTGTGGATATGTATATTCACTGTTTTGTTGTTTTTATTTTGTGATTTTATTATATTTGTATGTTATTGTATTTTTAACTCTGCTGTGTCAAAAAGGACAATCCAATTTTCAGACTCATAAAGTATGTAATGTACCCATAATGATACACACTGAATCAAAGACTTAAACGAAATGTGGTCATCATTTAGATGTTTTTGTTTGTGCTTTTAAATGTGGGTTTTTATTTCCCCAGTGTTCTGTATTGTGTGTACGTCATGGAGGAGAGTCTTTCAGCCTGTGGCTTCTGATCTGGTTTCATTTTACAGTTTTACATTTGTTTCATGTCCTGTCTGTTTCTCATGTATTTATGCTATGTTTTTTTTTAATATAGTAGTTGATGTACGGCACTTTGCTCAACTCTGTTGTTTTTAAATGTGCTATAGAAATAAAATGGATTGGATTGGATTAGATAGGTGTCATTTTTCTTCATTTTTCTTTTTGATTATCATTATATGCATATGTATCTAACAATAAGTGCCCCTCTACCTCCCCCCCCCCCACCCCCCCCCGTCCCGCCATCTCTTCCTCTTTACCTCTGGGCTGCAGTCTGGAGTGCTGGTGCTCCCGTTGAAGTGGTTCTGTGCCAGAAAGAAGGGAGAGTTGGCCATGTCCAGGATGGGGTAGTTGACCAACACGACCTTACTGAAGTTGAATTTGTAGGTGAAGCGCTTCCCTTTGGTTTTGTGCAAAATGCGCTTGTTGTAGTAATACCTGCAAAGGAGGAGGAGGAGGAGGAGGAGGAGGAGGAGGAGGAGGAGGAGGAGGAGGAGGAGGAGGAGGAGGAGGAGGAGGAGGAGGAGGAGGAGGAGGAGGAGGAGGAGGGGATATGAAATAGGGATGATAGAGTGGGGAGGGGATAAAGAATAAAGGAAAAGGAAGAGGAAAAGGAAAAGAGGAGGGATAGGATTTAATATAACGCTCGCATCAAGGTTTTATGTCTCATCGCTAGCAGACACGAATAAGTAAACAAGTTCAGCGCTGTTGGACAAGAGCTATGCTGATTTCCCACTGTTTCTTATTCATCTCCTCTTACTCAAATCAATTCATGTCTGCCTTGATCCAATACAATAAGGTTTGTTTAAAAGGGAAATGTTATTACCAGCTGTTAGAAATCAAAACGCATTTGAGCCTCAGAGGGCCCTTAACCTACAGACAGCAAAACACCGCTTTATCGTGCACGATCGTATTAATAGAAACAAAATAATGTGATATAATAATGACATTAAAATAAATGCAAATATAAAATACAAAATGGTGTTTGACTTCGTAAAAAATATGATTTAATTCAGAAAATACAAGATGGGTCAGTTAAGGTGAAAGTAGTTTTCTGAATGTTTGAATGGATGTGCTTTCATTTGAATCATCACAAGCAAATTGGACTCTGAGACATGAAATCCAACCCAAGTGATTCGTAAATAGAGTAAATATAATTGTAACGGAGAGGCTGCAACTGTCTTTTTTTAACGGCAAAGCACGTTTACTAAGACAACAAGAGGAGTCTCCACGGTAACGACCACAGGTGTCTCCCGCTGGGCATGTAGCGCCGTCGTCATGCCGTTTCCTGTGCCACCCACAGAGGTGTCAAAACGTACAGTCTGCCAGGAAGCAGGCTTGATCAACAGTAAAGGCAAAACATGGCGCCATCTGGCTCAGGTGAAGGAGCTGAGAGGGGGGAGGAGGGGGGAGGAGGAGGGGGGACGTCGCAAATTGAAAAACTTGCCGAGACTCCGTCCTATCGCGAGGTAGAAGATATCATCTCGGACGCCATTTCTTTAGGATTTCTTAGTTTTGAAGTGACCACCGAATACAGAATGCATTAGGGCAACCTCAGCGTTAAACACTACGGCTCATTATGCAGACGCACGATTTAAACGAGTACCAGCGTCTCCACAGTGCAATGAAGTGTACGTGTTTTGCTTTGCGTGGCAATTGTGCCGTGGCCCTTAATTGAGCAATTAAGTGAGGCTAATTAAGAAGGCTAATTGTGGCCCCAGCCAATTCATAACAATTAGACTCTGACGACAGCCCCCATTAACGAGAGGCCAAAGCAAAGCAGAGGGAGGGGGGGCGGGGGGAATAAGTTGGGGCAGTGTGTGTATTTGCATAAGAATACTGTGTGTGTGGTTGGGGGTGTAAACTGCTGAAGGTATGGAGTGTGAGCGGTATTATTTTAATCATATTCGCCAAGTTTGTAGCCGACCAGTTCCCCCACGTTCCTCATTCCCGCAGAAGCAGTCCAAGCAATTTCAGACTGCGGCTTAATTTTTAAATCCCTATTGAATTTTTTATTTGGCAGCTCAATGGTGAACTTTCCATTAGGATGTCCACAGATAAGGAGAAATTGAGGGTATTGGCGTTCCCCAGGAGACGTCTCACCTTTATCTTTCCATTAAACCGACAGGAAAAAGCGAGACGTTAAGTGAGGATTCAGCCAAACAAGAGTAAACAATTTATGTAAACCGCCGTGTGATAAACATCTTGATTTATCCGATTCCAAAAAGTGCTCGAAAGTCAACAAACACGTACCTCCGCATCAGGTCTAAAACCACCAGACTCAGGGACAGTTTCATCCCGCAGGCCATAAGACTGTTAAACACCTGCACTTTTGAAAGGACATCCATAACATCTGTTTGCAACTCATATCAATATTCCAATTACTTGTATATAAACTATTCTGCACTATTTCTATTATATTCTATTTTATTGTATTTACTTGCACTATTATCTGCTCTATTGTGTTGCACTGTTGGAGGAGCCTGTGAAGTCAGATTTACTACACTGTAGCTATGCACACATGACAATAAAAGCCTTGCATCTTGAATCTACCTCAGAGCCCTGCTCAGCTTGTCATAGTTCATGTGGGGTTTACACTTCCTGGCCCCCCACAGCCGGGCCACTTCATCGGGATCCTTAATGACGAACTCTCCGTATTCCCCCTGCCAGGCGATTATCCCATTGTACTCCTCCTTCTGCAGCAGCTCCAGGATGAAGTGCCACAGCTGGATCTGTCGGGACCCGGGGCTCGACTCCGGCTTGTAAGCCCAGTCCGGAAAGGCGATCCCTGGACGGAGGGAGCAGGAAAGAGGGGAGGATGAGGTTAGGGCCTGTCATTTGTCCCGCTGTTTGCCGCGGGGGATCGCTGTCTGAATGACTGATGAGTGATGGAGGTGAGGGATGATGTGTTTAATATCACAGTACGTGCTTTGAGCAGTGTTAGTCTGCGCTAATGCCCTCTAGCCTCAACAGATTGGTCAGCGGGACGATGACAGCTCGCCGGGAGAGGTCTGATTGATGCTGCCCGGCCCGAATGTATGCACATCATAGACGGACTTAAGCAGCTTTTTGACCGATCCTAAAGTGAATCTGGCAATAACTAGCCTCGTAAAAACATTAGATACACAACCAATTACTACCAGAGAGTGAATTTGTTTACCAGTGTGTGTGGGTATGGTTATCTTTTCTTTTTTTAAATGGCTGAAAGTTTGAGATCAATTTCAACATGTTTTCATGATTATGTTCCATCATAACTGGATTGGCTTTTTTTTGGTTAGCCCCAGTTTAAACTCCTGACCTGGGTCTAAATTCAGAGGTATGTTTGAAGGTGTGTATGCAGATGCGTGAGTAGATTTATTGAACAAAAAAAACACTTCTTAGGTAAACTGAGTGAATGAAAGAATTGTACCCCTTGCACGAGCTTGATGGTGGGACTGACCTGGCGTCCAAAGAGCGGGCACCGGGGGGATCAGCAGGTCACTGACGCAGTTACAGTCCATACCTCCACAACACCTGCAACACAGAGACAAGACAACAAGGGAACAAGTTAGTAACTTGTCTTCTGCATCTGAATTAGTGCATCCTGAAAACCCCAGCAGGTTTATTTCAGAGAGTTAAAAAGTTGCAGAATGTAAACTTTGTTGAAAATGGAGGTATTGCATAATGGTCTACGGGCGCAATATCAGTTCAAAAACATACCTTAAATCGATGTGAAATATGGCAAGGTTATGTTTCATATGTCTTTGGTAGAGATCAGGTGTTTGATGGATGTGATCTTGTATGGCCACCTGAGGCTGCGTCTGATGCAACATGGTGGACATCCCTATAGTGCATTTACTGTATGAACAGGAATTACATAGTCTTTTGAAAACCAAGGTAAAGTCGGGCCATATTAAACATTAAAATAAGAGCTTTTAATATATAATATGGCTATTCCTTGGTGGGGTTGTTCAAATTAAAAAACTTTACATTAGGTGGAAGATCTTCATGTGTTATGTTTAGGTGCACTACCACAAGGAAGGCTTTGTTTGTAATGGGCATGAGAAACACTTCTCGGTATCACGCACCACGACTACAGCCATTGAGTTGAATCAACACCTATACATATAATATTATCATCTTCATGGTGTCATTTATTTATGGTTCTTGCATTAGTTTTAAGCTCCTAAAAGATCAGCAAAAGTGTATAAAGTAGCAGAACATGGAAAAATACCTTACATATTTTAACAGTCTCAGTTCATTTCAGTACTGGTAATGAAATAGTAGTTTCTGATAAATACATCTTTAGACGAGTCCAGGTTATATTAAGTGACCACATCAACAAATATACTGTAGTTTGATGTAATACAGGACCAAAATATGCAAAAAATAAACAGCTGCCTGAGATAAGGGTGAACAAAAAATGAATCTATTCTTATATTACATTTAACTGAAGCTTTTATCCAAAGTGACTGACAACAAGTGCAATGAACCATGAAGATAAAACAACATGCAGGTGCAGTCGCTTCAAATGAACCCAACTATTATAAGCGCTAGTGCATTATTTAAAAAATAAACAAAAAACATATTTGTAATGTTAATTTAATAGTTTAATACATTTTAGTTTCTATTTCTTCACACCTATGGGAGCACCACAGGTGTGCATCAAAGCTTTGACACAAACTGTTCATCTTAAATCTGTCACAGTACCTCACAGTTCATCTCTATGCGAGCTGTGATCCAAACCCATCCCAAACAATACCGTGTGCATTAAATGCCAGCTAATGACGACATTGTCACGGAAATACATGCATAAAGACGTCTGCTGACAGGAGGACGTGAGGAGGGTTCATTGTTTCCGCAGAGAGACGGGATGAAGTTTGGATATCACAGTTTGATCAGGGTTGTTTTACAAAGCTCAGATGGAAGAGATGCCCTGCTGCTACACTCATATCTTTAATGCTGGCCTCTCCATCTCTGCCTCCACTCTCTGCCTCTATTTAATTATGCTCTGTGAATTTTGGATTTTCCCTCCAGCATCGAAATGGAACGTGAATTATTAAGGTGTGTTTGTATAAATTATTATTGCTAACTCCAGGCACTTCTCTCTCTCTCTCTCTCTCTCTGACCGACTCTCTCCTTCCATCTTTCTCCCGCTCGCTCTCACCCTGCTTCTAGCCTTTGGATTGTGGCCCCTCTCCTCATCTTTCGTGTTTTCAAGCTTCTGTCTTCAAATATACAGTTGGCATTCACCCTCATCTCACTCACATATTATTTTTTTCACGTTATCACTTCTTATTATTTATTCTTCTTCCATCAGCCTTGTGTTTTCTGCCTGCGCTCGTTTTCCCATAATGAGTCAAAGTTATCACCAGGGTTCAGATAACAACGTCTTCACAAAAAGCTCCGGGAATATTTCCACCAAACTGCACTAACCTGTTCGATCATTTTGTATTCAGCGTACCGGCAGGATATCCAAACACACGTTGGCCTTCACACCATTACAAACGTCTCTCTTTCACAACGTATGTCCTTCTATTAAAACTCGATACAAGCCGTACGCCGGCCCCAGTGGAGAGGGGTACGGGTCTTTAAAAAATAAGATATTCTTTGTGTTCGAGGTAGTAATCTATAAGTTTCATTTTCCCTGTGGGCTACAGGTCATCAATACTGCATCATATGTTTCATTTGCCATATTCTGGCGGCACACAGCATGTATAAACTGGTCTCCTCCGAGGATCGTGTATACGTGAGCTCCTCTGACGGGGTCTCTGCGGCCCCTCTCGCACCACCTACACCGCCTACATCTATATCCATTTTCCCTCTCCGACAGCGGAACTACACAGGTGAATCCTCCCTTCCTCTTTCCCACCTCCTCTATTCACACACACCTATCCTCCGTCTGCTCCCCCGCCCCACCCATCTCTCCATCTCTGTGTGTTTTGCTTCGGCGCAGTAATTTTCCGTTTGATTTCGGAGGTAATGCATTTTTTACAAATCAAAGAGGAAGCCAGGCAGCCCCCCCCCCCCTCCTCCTCCTCCTACCTCCTCTCCCCCTCCCCAGTCTTCTCGCCCCCCCCCTCGGCCCCCCAGGCCAGAGAGGAGATAAAGGAGCCCCCATCATTTCCTTGTTAGTTTTGATTTGGGCAGCGCAGGGCTTTCAAGTTCCCCCCATCACCCCCAGAAACATTATAACTAGCAGCCCAGGGAATACTGTTCCTGGTGCGCACACACTCTTACACACACATGCATGCACTGACTGTCAGATACAGACGCTGCTCACAGATTGTAATGGATTGCACGGTAAACACACACCAGATATGCCACAAATACACAGGTAGCTCAGGTAGCACACACACACACACACACACACACACACACAACACACACACACACACACACACACACACACACACACACACACACACACACACACACACAGAATAAGACACGGAGCCCATAGATATTGACTGAATCGATATAGACACACATCTCAGTGAGCTGAAAGAGAGAATGCACTTTGTTTAGTAAAAGATGGTACTGATTGAGACAAAAAAATTGCTATACAGAGCGACAGTGGACAAAAACAAAAGGACTCCTCTCGCACAACAGGCCACGGATAAGAACTCAGTCTGGATGATGGATCACACAGTTACCGGTGACAATAGTGAAAACACACAAAAGGGGCATGGAGTTACTGTACAGTCACATGTTGACAAAAGCACCTTCGACGCTCAAAGGAAACCTCAGTGTTGCTCCTCCACATGTTATGAGTCTAGTTTTAGCTAACCCTCTGGTGTGTTGTGAGTCAGAGGCTTTTGATCATTCAGGCAGTGGAAAGAATCGGCTGTTTTTAGGGACAGTGTTTCCTCTGCTGTCTTTAGGACATCACGAAGACGCAAGGACTCACAGTCAAGGCTGGTCGAGGCTCAAAGGGTATTAAGTCAAACAGAAAGATCCTGATATTTGCCTTGTAATAAGAGTAGCAATTATTAAACAAGTAACAAGGATCTGGTAATACATTCAGAATGCTTAAACAAAAAAAGGGTATTAAGTGCGATGCTCAACTTCCAATTAGCACAAAAAGACTCAACCTTTTAAACAACCATTAAAGAGGATTATATCTGGATTTGTGGGAAATAAGCTGTAAACACAACCTCAAAATAGTATCACACTAAGGTTGATATTGTGACTTTACTTCTTCCACACTTGAATAACAGCATTCATCAGGTTGTGCTTTTTGGCCACATAGTCAATGTAAGTCCAATATTCACTTCCTTTTGGTTCTGTTTCCTCTAAACCAGGGGTGTCAAACTCAAGGCCCGGGGGCCAAATCCGGCCCTTGACTTCATGTCATGTGGCCCCATAAGAGCTTGCAAAGAATATAATATGTTTATTATACGGTTACATGATGATTTACAGAAGCACGTTGCCCATAAACTACATGTCCCACAATGCATCTCAAATTAGATTTTTTTCTCAGAATGTGCCCTTTTCTCACAATTTGACTCTTTCTTAAACATTTTACTTTTTTTTTTAAATGTCACTTCTGTTTTTGACTTTTTTTTCCAGCTTTTCTTTTTAAATCATTTTGTGACATTCCCACTGAAGAGACTTGCAATTATTTGCCCCAGACTTCTGCTTTCAGACGTAGTTAATTATGAAGTTATTACCCTATCCAATAATAATCCAATGCAGAGGCAACAATGTAATATAATACATTATTTTATATATTTATATATAAGTTACAACCGGCCCTTTGAGTGCAGCCATAATGCTGATGTGGCCCGCAATTAAATTGAGTTTGACACCCCTGCTCCAAACCAACTCCTGAACAATGTAAATGTGTCCCTTACACTATTTGTATTTATTTTTTAAACACACTTCGTTTGGCTGAGGAGAACTGCATAATCAAGTGGTCATTTTCTAGTCATTTCATCCTTTCTAAATATGAATATATTGTTAATAACTGATTCAATCTTGATGTGATAACTTATGTGGTTTGCACTCATTGTCCCTGTTATTATCTTGTCTGATTTCTCTTATCTTTTGCCTGTAAAGCACTTCTTTAGTTTTATTGCACACAATTATGAGTTTAAGAGTCATACTGTATAATGTCCTTTATGCTGATTCAAATACACAATAAAACACGATGAAATCCTTATTAGATATGCTCATAATTGGGAGTATAAGGTCTTCTATAACCACGTGGAAAGTCATCACAACTAGGCTCATTACTTTGAGTTAAAACTGGTGTTCTGTGATGTGCCCCTTATTACTGTCCAAGAACATCTGAGTGTGTTTCATTAGAGTCCACGAGTTTCAGGTTTGAAGAGAAACATATTTGGAACATCTTCTTCCCGAGCAGGACTGACGGATACACACTGATGCAAGTTTGCAGCCAGGCGGGTAATCTATAGCACCAGCCCGTCAGCAGAAGCGTTGCTGCGGAGGTTAGTAGGCCACTGACGGGAGTGAAAAGGAAACAGTGAAGTACCAACTATGTTTTTGAAATTCTGCAGAGTGACTGGGGT